CGCCGCCAGAGAGCACACCGGGCAGAACCGTACCTCCGCCGATTCCGATATGGAAAACCTGGGAGTCACGAATCCCAGTCAACCGCGGAGGGATATGCCGGGAGAAAAGCGCGGGGGTAGACAGGAGAATTTAGGGGGAGCTCAGGAAAAGGAAACCTGCCAATTTCGGTTGGACAGAAGTACCATGGGGAAAACTCCATCCCCCTTGGATACATACATCTCAGATATTTCTCCACACACATATGCGAGATATATCGCGATATTTCTCTCAGATGTATCCGGATATATCCGGGGGGTACTTGGTGGGTTGCATATGAAAGCTCGCCGGTGGCGTTGCGGCATTACTCATCATCATCATCAACGGGCACATGACTGACTCACGAGGCAAAGCTGGAGGTTCAGTCGGCCGGGGTCCCGGCGCATTTCCCCCACCCCACCCCACGCCTGCAAGGTGACCCACGGGTCAGATAAATGCTCTACGTCGGGCCATCGTCCGCAGTAAGGGGCCGGTCCGGTTGGATGCAGGGCATCGGGCCCTGAGTCTATCCCTGAACCCCCCCTGACGCCACCTGCTCTCCTTCCTTCCTCTGAGGACCAAGGAAACCGCCGCTCTCCTAGGCGGGAGAGCAAGCGGGAGCCGGACTGAAGAGGGTCGTGTGTGATAATGTCTCTGATTATGTATTCCGTGGGTCATACATTGAGCCACAAGTCGCGTGGTGTCCCACAGATCGCACCCATCCTCCATCTTGGGCACTTAATGCCTCTCAACATGCGTTCCGTCGTGTTTGGTGCAATGGTCATCGGGAAATTCCCAACAGGAAGCGTGAAGGGGGTCTGGTGTGGTGCTGGTATCCCAATATGTTAGGTAGCTCTCTTATCATGCTCACTTATGCTACACCGAACGGAGTCATTAATAACAGGGGAGCCACATTGGCAAAGTCCCCCCGTTGATACCAGCAGTGCTAGTCCGGTACTTAGTTTACACCGAGCCTGTTGAAGAGCTGTGCGTGCCGTGATGGACCCGTCGGTCTTGTTGACATGGTCTATGGTTCATGCAGCGTCAGGCGATATGCCCTTTGGTTCGGCTTCTTTGCTCCGAGGCTTAGAAGCTCGGTAGCCCGCCGCTGTAACAACAACAATAACAATAACAACAAAAAAGGACCATTGTGCTAGTGCCCGCGTTGTGTTTGTCTTCTCTGTGCAACCGCGTCTCGACGTTTGTGGTGTGGCGTCGCAGGCCCCTGGTCCTCCGTGTATCTCTTGCCGTGCAGGCTGTGTGGGTGTCCTTGTCTAGGAGAGTCTTCTAAGGGGCCGCGCCTGGCGTGGGTAGGTCTCCCCCTGCCTCGGCTTTTGAGTGTGTAGTGGAGCCCCCCGAGTAGAGCCCCTGCCCCCGGTGGTGTTTTCTGCTTGTTCTTGTTTTGGCGGTCAAGAGGGGATAGAGCACGTGATTAGGCTGGCCAGGCGAAGTGGGGCCAGGTAGCCTGTTTAGGGTTCCCGGAGGTGGTGTGGCACCTCTCTTGCTTAGTTCAGTTCGCAGTCTTCTGCGCCGCTGTGTTGCCTAGCCAGGGGCTGGGAGAGCGGCCCAGTTGGCGTGAGTGAGGGAGTGAGGCGCGCGCGGAAGAACAGACGGACGTAGAGCCACGCGCCCGCCCCTGCGCTGTGTTTCGGCCCCCGGTGCGCGTCCTTTTCTCGGGGCGAGCCGCCCCCCACAGTGTAACACCCCATTAACAACAACAGCAAGACGGCACAGTCTTTGACCCAAAGCGTCGCTTCGTGACCCGCGGATCGTTATCTACGTACTTGCAGTTCCCTGTAGCCGACTTAGACTTCGCCATTGTTCTGGAAGCGTTGCCAGTCCGCAGGTTGCAGAGCTGCTGGAAGGTGTTGCACGGCTCCGTTACTGTCAGGCAAAAGGTGGTGCCTGAGAAAGAAGTGTAGTTGAATTTCATGCCGTACATACGGAACTCGTACACCATGCCTTCGAGGAGGGAGCCGCCAAGGCGACGCGAAGGAGGGGACGGGGGTTCAGTCCGTTTAACGCAACGTGGGGCGCAACATGGGGCTTTGCAGCTTCAGGTACTGACTGGATTACAGGAATGCAGGGATGTCAAGAGAGGTAGGGGTTCATGGAGTAGGTTGCACAAGGAGCGAATTGCAGGTTCAGGATTGATCCATGAGGCAGTGAGATGACGGGCATCTGGAATAATTAACACTTGGGACCCCCGGCGGCGGCGGTGGCACGAAAGGCCAAAGTCCGTTGGACGGCTTGAATCAGGACCAGCTGAGGTCCTACTAGCTTAACAACCTGGAGTGAACACTGGAAGTGGATCAGCGGATCAGACATACAGATGTACAGACACATGCTGACGTCCTGATCATGCCCCCAGCCAACGACCATCAGGCCTGCTCACTGCAGCCGGGGACTATGCTGGGACATACTATGGCATATGCTGTGGGTTCATAGTCTGTAGGCATAACTCCATCAGCGTGTTGCATCACGAATTTAGAAGAGTACTGATCGGCGGATGCAGATCCCGTGGATATGCCCGCCAGGGTACTACACAGCGACCCCACACGCTGCTGCAGGGGTTCCTCATTACAAACCCCACTTCCTCGTGTGCGTGGCGCACACCCGCTGTGTCAACGAGCTCGGACAGCGTGGGCACCAGCAGCAGGTCCCTTCAGGGCCCCCCCCAGCGTGGCTACATATCGTCAGTGTTGGCGAAATGGCACCCACTGCTATTTCCCCCCCCCCCGGAACCTGTTTGCCAATAAATACTGGCTTGCACAATTCGTCGGTCAAAATTTTGGGAGAAAATGGAAATGCTTCCTCGTGCAGTGCTCACTTGCTCATGGCAAGGTTTCAGCATGGAGCCAATATGCCGACTTTGACACATGCATCGTTCCCATGCTGTAATTCGTTGCTCATCAACTCGCATACAATTAGGTAAGGACCGGCAATCCTAAATTCACAACAAACTTTAACAAAAAAAACTTACAAAAACATCCAAAAAATATTTTGGCTATTTAAGACA